CACACTCCAAATGTAGGTGGGGGGTGTTTCTCAATCGCGAGTAAAGCTGCTGCAGAGCCACTATTTCAAGCATACTACGTCATCGAGTGCCGCCGAAGTACTGTTCCAATCTCCAGTATACTTGGAAATCTACCGAGCCCGGCGTACTCCGTTTGGAGAAATATCGAGTGTGCACATGAGTAGACTTCGCGGTCTTAAAATCCCCACAATGCTTTGCGCACGGACCAATTTCCCCAAATCTGTGGCGGAAGATGTAAGGCGGGGCCTCTCATATGACGCACACTTGCTAGCGTGTTCCACACTTCGTTTTCCGAATGCCAGGAAGTATTCTTGACTTGCTTCTGAAGCAAGATGCTCGGCAGACATGTGCTACCAAGCAAGCGTACTCGCGATTGAGAAACACCCCTGGTCTGGAACTTGAACCGGCGACCCTACGGCTCACAGTCCAAGCCCCTACTGACTGAGCCACTACCGGAGGCGAAGAGTTGGGTGTTTTTCATCTGCTGGTGGACTACCGGGGAGATTTACAGCAGGAGCACACGCTCGCCTCGGGGAGGGAGAAAAAGAGAAACAGCCAGAGCCCTGCCTCTCCCCACCTCTGCTGCTAAATCCACCGCGGAGAATAAACAGAAGGGCAACCATGCTCGGGAAGTCTTCTTCGCTGCTTTTGGTGTATTTTGTGGCGGAAGTACAGCGCCACTTACAGGCCCGGCATATGTACTACAGCGTCTCCAGCGGGTCGAGCAGTCTCGTGTGAACGGACACATTAATTGAGCCGATTGCGTGGGAACGGAAGACTTTTTTGATATCGAATTCGGTTTGTTGTCGTTTGCGTTCCGTGTAAATGGGGCCTTAGACGCATCCCCTCAGCCATTATGCAGAACAGGCTATGGTTAAATTACCCCACAGGTAAAAGGTGGGCACTGTTACTGGCTACAGTCAATAGAGGTAAATGACAGCACGGCTTTACATCATTATGGTAAGAGCCTCTTGTAAATATCATTATGAATCATTGGGATGTTGAAGGGTTTTGGGTCAGTTACAGCAATTGGAATATGCAGGGCCATAAATAGCTATTTTTGATATGCTCACTGCCGTTAAGCAGATGAATCCTTTGCTTGAAAATACGTTTAATTTAAAGCAACAAACATTGGACATCTGGATTCCGAAAGCTTTGTTGTGCAAATTCAACAGTCACTGAAAAAACTGAAAATGATCTTCAGAACTGATGGTTTGTAGTTCCACAGCAGTAAACTGGCAATGAGGGCCAATAACAAACACATTACCAGCATGTGTCCAAAATAATTTCTTATGGATTATATCATTTATGAGGTTTAATAAAGTCATTGGTTTAATCATAAACACATCCTGTTCATTAACAGCAGCTCTGCTCCTCTTTTCAGCACCGTCCATGAGTCAATTCATTGCTTCCACTGTCACATACTGTACATTCACTATGTTAACTCACATTTTAATTCAGTTTTCTTTAGGTTCATTGCTTTTATTGGCAGAGTAAATTAACAATCTATATAATATGCACGAATATCAAAGTGATAAAAATGTTAAATAGCTGGCACACTGCACACAGGTGACATTTGACTGCTCTATATCATTTTGAAATCATTATGTCTCATTCATTACTACTGAATACAGAAGAGCCCCTCATTAGTAAACAGTAAATAGAGATTTCTTAACACAATAATAATAATAATGGTATCAATGATAGCTGTACAGTCGCACATCAGTGATTTTTACATTGTTATTTTTAGGATCAAATATCTGAAATGCCATTGAAACTACTTTTCTGTCCATTGTTACGTTTTGTAGATTCAACCTTTAAAGATTGTCAGTACAATAGCTACAGCTACAGCTTGGGGTCTTTGATAATCCTGAGGGCTTTCTTCCTGAGCCGCTGGGAGTAAAGGTCCTCCATGGATGGCAGCTCCGTCCTGGTGATGTGCAGTTTTCACCACCCTCTGTAAAGCCTTACGGTTGAGGGTGGTGCAGCTGCCGTACCAGGCCGTGATGCAGCCAGTCAGGATGCTCTCTATGGTGCACCTGTAGAAGGTCAGGATGCTCTCTATGGTGCACCTGTAGAAGGTCAGGATGCTCTCTATGGTGCACCTGTAGAAGGTCAGGATCCTCTCTATGGTGCACCTATAGAAGGTCAGGATGCTCTCTATGGTGCACCTGTAGAAGGTCAGGATGCTCTCTATGGTGCACCTGTAGAAGGTCAGGATGCTCTCTATGGTGCACCTGTAGAAGGTCAGGATCCTCTCTATGGTGCACCTGTAGAAGGTCAGGATCCTCTCTATGGTGCACCTGTAGAAGGTCAGGATGCTCTCTATGGTGCACCTGTAGAAGGTCAGGATCCTCTCTAAATGTCATCCTCAAACACACACCACTCCGTTGTTTCAAACAACTCAGGAGTCAGACAGGAACAGAATGTTGGAGAGCAGCTCGATACAAGGCAGCCATCCAGTCAACATGTGTGTCCAATAAGGTGACAATATTGGGGTTAAATATTTATAGAATCCGGACAATAAAGTATAATGGCAGAGCCTGAAGGTAGTGCACCATCTTGTAAATCTTGCTGTTCCCTCTCTATAACATTTTGTAGAGAGAGATTTAGTTTGTCGTTGTTTACCCTTTAGTTGCTGCTGTTTTGTATCTACACCATTGGTTGGAAGTGGAAGTTTGAAGCATGGAGGTGGGGGGATTTGGGTTGAGGTCCAGAGGTGGAGGTAAAGGAGACAACGGCCAGTTGTTTGTGGATTGTGGCAATTTTTGAATTATAAAATGAGAGGAAAGAGTTGCATTTGTCAGTAGTAAAGGAGTTGGAGATGGAGTTCATGGGCTTGAGGAGTTTGTTGATGGTGTAGAAAAGTGTTTGGAGTTGTAGCCAGATTGGATGATGGAGGAGTAATTGGTGGAGCGAGCGCTGTTGAGTGCATCTATGTTTTGTTGTTGGAGTTTGTAGGCTTCCAGAGGCCTGTACTACGAAGCTGGTTCAACTTAACCTGGATATGTTGGAGTTAGCCGGTTGGCGTAATCCAAAACATACGCGCTGGCGCTAAACTGTACTACGACGCTGGTTATCAAGTGGATCGCTCAAGCCAGCCGTGTCCTATCTAGTTAGGTGCGCGTTCACATGAAAGGGGTGGTATTTGGAGCATTCGACCAATCTCAAACACGGAGAAGCGTACTGACAGCGCAGCGTCATACTTCCTGAATGAAAAGTGAACTTTAATATTAGTCAAATATGAAGAAGTTAAACTTTAAGCATCCATGACTTAAACACTTTACCCAGGATAAAAGCCACATAGCTGCACCTACTGTACAAGGTGAATACAGCTGGTAAAAGAAAAAGTGTTTGAATGCGTACATTAACAGGTTTATGATATCACTGCCCCGTCTAAGACACGATCTGACTTTAATTAGGAGAATTTGACTCGAGTGTTTCGTCAATTTAATGTGTTGCTTAAAATAATACTTCTGCATACAGTATGTGACACTGTGAGTGTTGCACGGCCAGATACGGCTCAAGAAGCTGACTCAAATAAGGAAATATATGATACATTATGATGTGATATGATATGAATGATAATGGGACACATCTACGTCTGCACTCACAGTGCCGCGGACTGTACTTAATGTTACTCTGATCCGGTTACTTATGTTGTGGCAGATATTTAAGTAAGCTTTCTTAACGCTAATGTTATAATAGTCAGATTGCTCTGAAGATGGGAGGGGATATTCTATTAATTTTCACGTTCACACAGTCAGTTGATTTTGGCCGGTCGTCTTTCCTGCAACGGCAGTTTTAACTGTATTTCCTTTCTCCTCCTGTCATATGAATTGATCGCTTTAAACTCCGGACACGGAGCTCTGATTGGTCAGCAGGCGGTGCTTTCACTGAGTTGATCTCTTAGCCTGCCACCTAACCTGCTCCGGAGCAGGTTTGCCGCTCAGCATAAGTTACCATGGAGATCTAGCCTGCTAAAAAGAGAACCAGCGTCGTAGGACCGGAAAGCCCGAGATTTCCCTGAATTTAGCTGGCTAAGAGAAAATCCAGCTTCGTAGTACAGGCCTCTGGTGTACATTTGGTCTGTTCTTTTTAGAGAGTTGTTCCAGTTGATGGCCCATGGTTTTGACCAATCGTAGTGTGTCAGTGTACCGGGGCCAGAGTGTGTGAAGGAGACGGGTTTGGTTTTAATGGGGGAAATAACTCTGAATAATCCAACATCAGAAATATGTTATACATTTAGGAAAACATTTGATTAAATAAGATAAATTAGACCAACCTGAACCTGTATAGCTAGCTGGTGGTTTTGACTCATTTAGCGACCTAACAGAATTCATTTGATATTTTATTAAAAAAAAAGATCAACAATTACAGTACACACACACACACACACACACACACACACACACACACACACACACACACACACACACACACACACACACACACACACACACACACACACACACACACACACACACACACACACACACACACACACACACACACACACACACACACACACACACACACACACACACACACACACACACACACACACACACACACACACACACACACACACACACACACACACACACACACACACACACACACACACACACACACACACACACACACACACACACACACACACACACACACACCAGAACTTGTATTTGAAAAGACAGACAGAGCACTCTCTTTGTGGAATCACTGCTGAACAAGCACAGGGCCCGTCCTCCACACAAGTCATATGTAACTAAGCAACATGTAATCCTATATTTGCACACGACCTGTCATGCCATATTAGTAATTAGAATGCATAACATTAAAATAATCATTTTAAAATAACAAACAAGCAATGCCTATATTATATATAGACATAACAGCACGGGCAACAAATCATAAAAATACAACTGTATAAAAATAATCTCTTAAATTACACATAAAGCAGAGACAAGAAACAAAAAAGGAATGTTTGATGTATAATATGTTCCAGCCTGACAAACATTGGACTTCTTGTCCATCAATAAAAGTTGCAATGCCACTTCCTATTACTTGTCTTAGCTGTGAGTCACATTTAGGGCAATGCAAACAATGCACGAGTACGATGGACCAGAAAAATACTACAGTGCTGATCAACGTATCGCAGAGGACTAACATGAAATAGTAAACACATACGTTTTATAAAAATTAGAGCTTTGCCAGTTTCGCTTGAATAAAGTCCTTTTAACAAAACCTCAGTCAACATAAAACCGACTACGCTGACCCGACGGAATGACAGTGACAATATTACCTTGGATTATAAGTGCAGAAAAATGATCATGTTGTCAAACATGAAACTCTCTTCAGTCTGTGCGGACTCTTTAGTGCATTCTGTCCCACAGTTAATACAAATGTAAAAACAGTCCAAATCAAAAGTGCTTCAGTGACAGAGGATAAAGCATAATAAACTATTTAGAATAATGTTTCACACAGGTGGAAAGGAAACCTTAAACTGTCACCTGCAAACCTTCAAAGGAACACCATCTTTTCCATGATCTTGTCCCTACGTATGCTGCAGCATTTTGAATGAAGAATGTGACTTTTTGGTCCAGCCTGATAATAAAGAGTTACAATAGTCCAGCCTTGAAGTAACAAATGCATGGACTAGTTTTTCTGCAGTTCAAATGAATAAAAACTGACATGTCTTACTTTCAGATGAAGTGCAGCAGACAGCCCCACCTGGAACTTAGACTTAAACATTTAATGTGACCAAACTAAAGTGTGTATGTTCAGCAAAGCTTGCTCATTTTCTCCATTTTGTATTTGCAAAGAGAAGAACAACAGTTACATTTACTGACATGTTAAAGCTCTCAGTCCCTACATCACACTGACTGTCCCTCACACTGTGTCTCTGACTGTCCCTCACACTGTGTCTCTGACTATCCCTCACACTGTCCCTCTGTCTGTCCCTCACACTGTCCCTCTGACTATCCCTCACACTGTCCCTCTGACTGTCCCTCTGTCTGTCCCTCACACTGTGTCTTTGTCCCTCACACTGTGTCTTTGTCCCTCACACTGTCCCTCTGACTGTCCCTCTGACTGTCCCTCACACTGTCCCTCTGACTGTCCCTCTGACTGTCCCTCACACTGTCCCTCTGACTGTCTAGCTAGCTTTGTTGGACTGGGATTTCTTTATTCTGAATTCTGCTTACCAAGCTCCGACTTGTGGATTGTGTCTCTAGCAGAAACAGCAGACCTGAAATCACTGGAACATCTTTCCAGTTTCATCTTTGTGTGACCAGGGAGAAAAACACTGAGAGACTATGAGTACATGGTGGCCACTAAAATTCCTGCTGAGACAATACTATCAGTATCAGAGTATTAATACTTTCATATCCTTGCTGCTGTTGCTCACTGTGTCAATGCACAGCAAGAGTACATCATTCAGATAGATTAGGGTATTTTAGTGTCATGTTAAACATTTATATCAACATGTTGAAGTCAAATATGTTTAATACGGTTGTATGACAGTACACCTGGTTCATGTGTCAGGCCGTTAGACTGGAGGCAGGCTGGAGGAGGGTTACTATAGCAGCACTGAGGCGTGTCCTGCTGGAGGAATGGACAGCAGGACAGAGTCTGTGTTGAATGGACAGCAGGACAGAGTCTGTGTTGAATGGACAGGAGGACAGAGTCTGTGTTGAATGGACAGGAGGACAGAGTCTGTGTTGAATGGACAGGAGGACAGAGTCTGTGTTGAATGGACAGGAGGACAGAGTCTGTGTTGAATGGACAGGAGGACAGAGTCTGTGTTGAATGGACAGGAGGACAGAGTCTGTGTTGAATGGACAGGAGGACAGAGTCTGTGTTGAATGGACAGGAGGACAGAGTCTGTGTTGAATGGACAGGAGGACAGAGTCTGTGTTGAATGGACAGGAGGACAGAGTCTGTGTTGAATGGACAGGAGGACAGAGTCTGTGTTGAATGGACAGGAGGACAGAGTCTGTGTTGAATGGACAGCAGGACAGAGTCTTTGTCGGGAGGACAGCAGGACGTCCACTGGCCTCAAACACTGATGCTGTGCTGTCGCAGTTTGGCCACAAGGAACTCGTGGGTTAAATTATGTCGTGTGATTATTCCAACAATCTGAAACAGATGGAAGAAAATGAACAAGAGTCCAGACAGACAACAAAAGCCTGTGCATGCTGGAATAGCTACAGTGTTTTTATTTGGGGTTTTCTCTGTCATGATCAAAACATTGACTTAAACACGTAATACTGGAGGAAAAGCTCTCTTGGATGATCACTTACTTCTCCAACAGCGTTCACCACTGGCAGGTGTCGCAGGCCCATCGTCCTGAACAGGTTGAACACCTGGGAGATGTGGGTGTTGGGCGACACCGTGTAGGGGCTCGGGTTCATGTAGGGGGTGACATCCTGGAAACACAGAGTTCTTATTTTATTGCTTTTCCACTCTAAAAAGTACTCTTCTATCTTAGTGTTTAAACAGGTCGTACCACTATCATGCGGGGGTTGAGCAGGGCGAGGTCCAAGTCATGGATATCCGGGTAACGTGGGTAATCTTCAGTCATCTCTGCATAGGACAACCTGGGCTGAGTGGCGCTCTGAATATATCGAAAAAATCGGTCACAAAAATGATTCCTAAGACCCCGCACTGCTGGCACTAGTTGGCACTTGGCGGCTGCATAAGCCCCTCAGTGAGAGAGATCACTCTGATTGGCTGATCATATGAATGCCTCTGAGGCCAACAGGATTAACGGTGGCCCACTCTGCTGTCTTAAAGGCAGTAGCCGGCTCAGTTGTAAAGCTAGAGTGAAGATAGAGATATCATCCCTGGCAATATATGGTCACCATGGAATTAGGAATCAGCTGCACTGTGCCCTCTGTGTGTCTGTACTGCCTCAACCTGCTGCTATCTTCTTGCTATGTAATATGTATGTTTTGATCAGCATTCCCAGTATTGTAAGCCACTATGTTGCATGTTTTAACTGATTCTAGTTACTTTACCATTTTTAATTAATTTAGTTTTTAGGGTGACTTACATCTGTCCAGGGACTACAGATGAAACGTTTCCTCTTGCCTAACTCTGGCGCATTCACAGAAATGTTAATCGATGTGCACTGTCCCCGTTAAATAATTAAATCCAGTACAAATACTGTGTAAGGTCATGCTAGTTTGTCAGAGAGGAGTTTAAATAACCTCCAAAGCACATTATTGGCGAGGGAAAAACTGTATGGCTACAACCACAGGGTCCCCTTGACTTCTGACCTCAAGATTTCTGAATGCAAAAATGTTCTATGGATACCCAGCAGCCTCTGCTGGGAGTGCGCTTGGGGCCTTCCTTTTTGATAGAGCTTATGGTTGATAGAGTGGTCTGGTGGGAGTGCATTGGCGTGGACACGCTGTGCCTCTTCACCTACATTTTGGTTCTTGCTCTTTCACTTAAATCCTAAAAGCTTGGATCTTATATTTAAAACTAAGGTTATTAATACTTCTCATTCTTCTAAATCTATTCTCTCTCTACTTCTCATACTCTCTACTCCTGTAATCTATTCTTTCTATTTTCTCTTTATCCAAAACCTTTCCCATCTCTGACCTCTCGAGGTTCTATTAGAGGGTAACAGGTTGCAGAGAGGCCTATTCCGGCCAGGGAGTGTTATGACCGTATTCACAGCGTACCTCCTTACCTCTCACCTACTCCAATTAACCTTGCTCCCTGCGTGTGCCTCTCCACCTCTGTTCCTTACTTTTTACTTGCTACCCCTTTCCCCTCAACCTATCCTAAGGGAGTCCATGTACGTAGACACGTTAGTTTAGTTAGTTTGGCTTAGACTGTCGGGGGACACCTTACTTATTCCTTCTGTCTGTCTGTGTGTACTCTCATGTTCCGATTAACCCAGCCTCCCCCAAATTTATTTTTTTGTGTCTATATCTACGCCGGGATCCTGAGTCGTGGCTGATCCTGTTGCTGTGGTCCTGCCTGACTCTCGTCATACTGCTTCCCTGATGGCTCCCACAGGATTGTTGACATCCTCGTGGATTGATCTTCTTACAGACACATGCATTTCCAAACATTCGATCTACCTACGCTGTAAAACGTATTATCTCTTCGATTTACACACGGCATCTATTGTCTGTCCGTCCTGGGAGAGGGATCCCTCCTCTGTTGCTCTCCCTGAGGTTTCTCCCATGTTCCCCTTTAAACTGTGGGGTTTCTCTGGAAGTTTTTCCTTGTACGATGTGAGGGTCTAAGGACAGAGGGTGTCGTTTTCTCATACTGATATTCTGCACAAACTGTGCTGTTGTATTTGTTGTAAAAGTGTCTTCATTGTAAGGTATTTTTATTATATGTACAGCACTTTGGCTCGACCATCGTTTTAAAAATGTGCTATATAAATAAAACTTGATTTGATTTGATCTGCTCTACAGACATGCTCACTTTATGTTAATCACATGCAGCTTTGGGTGTAAACAACTTTTTCTGCACCTAAAGATCCCCTGCCCTCCACAAATTGATAACATGTGGGTCTCTGAGGGTGAAGCAAATCAGTTCCAGAAAAACAGATGGTAGGAAAACAAATCAAAAGGGCACACTCATGTTTCCTCTTCCTCTCGGCAAAATAATCTGTGACGCGTTTGTGTGTATTGTGTTTGTTTCCCGGGGAAACACTCACAAGAAACACAGGCTGTCGTTATGCCTGCTGTGACGTTAAGTTACCGCTTGTAATTATGCCGTTACAAGCTTCAAAGTTGTATTTATCATCTGAATTTGGCGAAACAAGTTTAATATTCTAAAAACCAAGACTTTGTTTATTTGAAATCAGATGAAAACAAACTGTCACGGACCCTGCCGTGTTATCTATGATTACTATACGCTTTTCATTCATCATTTCAGCGGGAGGGAGGGGGAGCGGCGCTGAGGAACAGCAGAGTGCGAGTTGACAGGTGTCTGTGTTGACATTCCCCTTATTGTGGAATAAGGGGAATGCAGATCGATGATGATTTTCTGATATTTTCACAACAACAGGGCGACTGGAATTAAGCTAAGTGGAGAGTGGTGTGAAATTGGCAAACAAGTAATTTTGACTGTCTTATTTGTGCAAACATATTATAAGCATCATGTTCAATGAGGAATACAGACGAACTTCAGCTGGACGGTTATTACCAGAACTTACGTGCAGTGTAATGCTGGCTGTAGGCTTTGCGGTGTTTTCAAGTATGATTTAATGCCTTTGTGTGTGTGTGCAACTGACCGACTGATTCTCGGCGTAGCAGACTCCCCTGATGAGCAGGGTGACCAGCTGGGAGCGCAGGATGAGGCCGTGGAAGGTGAGCGGTCTGAAGCGCTCCTCCATGCTCCACTCTTCACTGGGGGACTGGTCGGGGTACAGGTTGGGGTACGGAGCGTGCCTTCACGTGCACAGCACAACCATTTTATTAAAACCCACAAAATGTTTTCTCTCAGTGAATGCATACATATATGATTTATATAAAATGTGTGAAATGTATAGTGATAAATACAGTTATAGGGTCATACTGTGAACCCTGAAATGTTGAGTACCACAAAGTTTTATGTTAGAAATGTATAGTAGCAAACTACCGGATGCTAGCTTGCATATGTTGAGCAATTTGCAATATCTGACATATATATCTGGCCATGTATGTAATCCCGGTGGGCTGATTTTGATGAATTTGGGGTGGATTTTTTGTTTTAGGAGACTCAAAACTGCCATTTTTGATCCTACAAATGTCAGAAATTGATTCACACACACCGAAATTGTTCCAACTCGGGCAAGCCATTTTTTAACTATTGTCTGCATATGGGAATTAATGCTAATTAATGCAACTTGTGCTAATTATGCAAATTGCCCAACATATGCAAGTTAGCATCCAGCAGTTTGTATGTGCTGGGGAGCCTACTATACATTTCTATCATAAAACCTTGGGGTACTCTACATTTCATGGCAAGAAGACTAAAATGTAAAGAGCCAGTAAATGATAGAGTGCTCTTGTGAACTGGTGCAGCTGGGTGTTTACTGTTTACAGTCACAACACTTTGTCTGTCGGGGGTGGTACAGGAACATGTTAAATTTATGTAGCGTGTGACCTACCTCCTCTCTAGCATCTGCTGCAGCAGGTCTTCCCCCCTCTCCCCCTCCCCCTCCCCCCCGGTGGCGATGCGCTCCTCACAGACGTTCCTCAGCTCGCTGGACGGGTATGACTTCATAGACTGGCAGCGCCGCCGCTGCTCCCCCGCACGGGACAACACACTGGATTTCTGGATGGGAATTTGAAGAGCATGTTTCCTCAGTTTGCTGGATCCATTCCAACAGCATTCACTTTGGTTCCATTATCCAGTCAACGGTGTAAAATAAGAATTGAAAATATCTTTCTCTTGGATTGATTACATTAGAACATTGAATGTATTGTTTAACATGTGTGTGCTTTGATTCTAAATATAGTACAAATCTTTCATGGTATAAGTGACTTAAAACAACTTGCTACTAAGAATAAAGCTAAATCTATTTTTATTTAGATATTGCCTTGGAGCAGAACTAGTCATTGATTTGCAACATTGTTCACACTTACCAAGTGCAATTAAAAATATTAAAGGTATTGACCTTTTGCATAAATGTTATAAAAACACCTATGAGAGTGTACACACTTCCATTGTCATTTGGTATAAATGACAAAATTGGTTCTTAACTGTGCAGAAAACAAAACGGACAAAAACCTTAAGATGTGAGGATCAGTTCCTTATTACTCTAGCTCCAAGTTAAAGTTAAAGGAAATGTGAAAAGGGGTAATTTGGGTAGTAAGGACATGTTCAGCTGCTGCTATACTCAGACCTCTACCTCCCTCCACTGGTTAACCCACTGAATACACTGTGGCGTGTAAATAGTGAATGTAGTGCTGCCAGCAGTATAACTGAAGTGTTCCCTGTTTTTTCTGAAGAGAACAAAGACAGGCAGGATATTGGTCTCCGTGTCCAGTGGAACTGTTGCATGTGTTAAAGATGTTTCCATTCTCGACTGACCTTAAAGTGGATGTTGTTGCTGACCAAGATGTTGCCCTTCATGAAGTCCCGCTCGTTGTACCGGTTCTCTGTCACCACAGGGAAGGCGTTGTAGACAGTGGTGCGCAGGATGCTGACCAGAGACTGGACCCGTGTGTGGGGGTACACATAGGTCAGGTTGGGCTCCATGATATCATTAGCTGTCAGCCTGGATAAAGGAGGGAAGGAACAAAGAGATTTCCTGTTTAAGGTGATGATAGAACAACTCCTGACAGACTGAGGATCCAAAGGATGACAAGGATAAGAATGGATAACAATCAGCTGGTTCACACAATGACATGCTTAGAACTGATCATGCTGAGCTCGGGTATCAAACTCAATTCATCCGGGCCCCATCAACATTACTCCCCTTTAAAAAGGGACGTTTGTAACTGTAAGATTCTAATTATATATATATAGTTATATATTATTTGTCTTCTTTACTTGCTTGTAAAGCGCTTTTAGCACCAGGAAAAGCGCTATATAAATCACATGTATTATTATTATTATTATATAAATATATGTACTCTATTATACTCTATTATACCCTGATTATCATTCATTTTAGTAATAACTAATTAATAATTTGCTCTGAAAGCAGAAGTCTAGGGAAAATAATTGCAATCGGACATTCAAGTGTGCAATGATTATACAATTATTTTCAGAAAATGAATGAATTTAGATACAAATCATATGTTGTGCATCGATATACACTCATGTATATAGACACAAATTATTGTGTGTATGCAAACACACTTACATTTCTGGGTGTTATTATAAATCCCATGAAGTTATGAGATTAAAAGACCCTCATCATCACTCATACAGTGGAGGAAATAAGTATTTGATCCCTTGGCAATTTTGTAAGTTTACCCACTTACAAAGAAATGAACAGTCTATAATTTTAATGGTAGGTTTAATTTACTAATAAGAGAGAGAATATCAAAAAGAATATCCAGAAATGTACATTATATAAGACATATAAATTGATTTGCATTTAACTGTGGGAAATAAGTATTTGATCCCCTTGCAACAAACAAGAATCCTGGCTCCCACAGACCGGTTACACAAGTCCTCTTGCTTTTAAGAAAGTACTCCTAATATCAACTTGTTGCCTGTATAAAAGACACCTGTCCACAGAATCAATCAATCAGATTCCAGCCTCTCCACCATGGGCAAGACTAAAGAGCTGTCTAAGGACCTCAGGGAATAGACTGTAGACCTGCACCAGGCTGGGACTGGCTACAAGACCATCAGAAAGCAGCTTGGTGAGGAGGAGACCACTGTTGGTGCCATTATTCAGAAATGGAAGAAAAAGAAAATGAGCATCAGTCGCCCTCGGTCTGGGGCTCCACACACGATCTGGCCCCGTGGGGTATTGGTGATCATGAGAAAGGTGAGGGATCAGCCCAGAACTACACAGGAGGATCTTGTTAATGATCTCAAGGCAGCTGGGACCACAGTCACCAAGAAAACTATTGGGAACACACATGATCACATAATGGATCAAATCCTGCAGCGCCTGAAGCCCCCTGCTCAAGAAGAACATGAAAGGCTCGTCTGAGGTTTGACAACGAACATCTGAATGATTCAGAGAAGGTGATGTGGTCAGATGAGAACAAAATGTAGATCTTTGGCATCAACTCGATACGCTGTGTTTGGAGGAAGAGAAATGCTGACTATAACCCCAGAACACCATCCCCCCCCCCTGTCAGGCATGGAGGTGGAAACATTCTGCTTTGGAGGTGTTTCTCTGCTAAGGGGACAGGACCACTTCCCTGCATCGAGGAGAGGATGTACGGGGACATGTACCGTAACATCTTGGCCGATAGCCTCCTACCCTCAGCCAGGACACTGAACATGGGTCATGGAGGGGTCTTCCAGCAGGACAATGACCCTGAACATACGGCCAAGGCAACACAGGAGTGACT